GTGGTCTCTGGTAACCACGACTCTACTCTCTACTTTCATGAGTTCTACTAGCGTGACGTCATGTGGTGTTTCATTCTGTGCTTTGCTTATTTCACTTCACCCAGTGTCCTCTGGGACATCACAAATGACAGAATGGCATTCTTTTGGATGGATAATAGTACTCTATTTGTATACGTACCACATTTTTTACACTTGATCCTAGCCAAAAGGCTAAGAATAGATAATACCACATTTTTAATCTTTTCATCATCAATAGAAACTTAGACGGATTTTATATCCCGGTGATTGTGAACTGTATTACGTTAAACACAGGAGTGCAGATATCTGTTTGACATACCGATTACACTCCCTTTAAATATATACCCAGGAGTGGGGTTGCTAGATCACAGGGTAGCTCCATGTTCATGAGGGCTCCAAGGTTGGCACAGCTCTTCAGCCCAGATGGACTTGGGGAATACCGAAGAAAGGTGCCCAGGCTATGTGAGAAAGCTGGCCGGGGCCCTGAGCCCAAAAGCCTGTCCCAGTGCCCAATATAGGAAATGTCTCCCAGCAGGTCCCTGCACATGTGGGATGGTTTTCCAACTGCAGTGAGAGGGACTGGGGCTGAGACTTGGTGCCTTCAGGATCTGCTGTAGGACAGAGGCTGGTGAGACCATCTTGTTGGTTCAGATGGGAGTAAATCTCACAGTAGGTCTCTGAAGAGTAAGAATAGTTCCTTGACTGCAGCAGAAGAGGCTATAGTTGACACGGAGCCCCCTGGGGGTCTGGAAGTTGGCAAGCCCTTCATGGAGGCTCCAACTCCTGGGATGTAAGATATAAGCGAGTCTCCCTCTGAGCTCTTGTGCAAGCCATTATGAGCTGGGACCTCAGCAGAGGGAGGCCAGAGCTAAGCCACAGGGCAACTTTCAAGTTTGCTGTCAAGACTGATGTTGGTACACAAATAAGTTTCTCTGCTGAGGCACTAGTGTGCCTGATCCCTTCTACAGTCCTTGGCAGTTGGTTTTGGTTGCAGACTCAGGGCCAAACAGAGCTACAGCCTACCCCTGTGGGGGAACAGAACCTTTTCCAGCTTGGACCCTGGAGACAATCGGCAGATGTGCCAGCTGGGTGCAGATGTGCACTCTCAGAGCAACCCTCCTAGGTCTTGGGGTCTACTGGGGTTTCACAATCTCCAACCTTAATGCCAAAGCTCCCACAAAGAGAACTCCGTCTGTACGTGGATACAGAATTCTTATTGTTATGGGGTGATATGAGTAGATCACCCCTCCAGTTCTGACTCCTTGCTGACATTACTCTGAACTCTTCTTGCTTATATTTTAGCTAAGATCCTTACACTTGTATTAAGTAGAATCAATCTGTGGTTTTCTTTCTTTTATGCAGTTATTATCTTGGTTGGTTTTTTATATCAGAGTAATGTTAATAAAGAAGAAAATGTATCCTCTTTTTCCATGTTCTAGAACAGAATATAGCAGATACAAGTCCTCAAAAGTTTTAAAAGACTTATCAAAAAGTTCCCCAAGCCCAGAGCCTTTGCTGAGGTAATAATCTTAATACTTCTAATTTTTCTCACCTTTATTATTGGTTTAGTCAGGTTTTTTACCTTTCCTAAGATAATTTTATAAATTTGCATGTTGCTACAAGTTTGTCGATTTTAATTAGATTTTCTAGTTTATTACCATAATTATACACCATAGTCTCATGACTTAAAATATTTCATCTGTACACAGTGAATAACTGTCATACAAGTGGGAAAATATTTCATTCTCCCACTTCCAACTTTTGTGTATTTGTGGGTTTGTATTGATTTGTTCTTGCTCATTGGTTTCTAGACCTTGTTTTCAAACCCACTCTTGCTCTGGGACTGCCCTTCTCTCAGGCTCCCAGGAAGGCTCTCAGGCTAAATCCACCTGCTTTTTCTCCCTTATCCAGCAACTGGGCATTTATGTGCAGAACTTCTCTACTCCATCTATCACCACAGACCCTCAGCAACGCCTGCTAACAGTTACAGTCACAAGTTCTCCCTCCCATCTTTCCTTATGAACACTTATTGGATTCTGTTGCATCTTCATGTTACTGTCAGGGAACTGGTTAATTCACCCCATAAAGACAATGAGAAGGAATGAAAAAGCAAGACCGCTGCGGTCGCTGCAGTGAAGTTCCCAAGGTGAGTCCTGAATCAAAGCTCTCACCGACGAGCTCTGGGGCTTTCTCCGCAGGCCACAGTCACATTTCAGATCTCCAGAGTCTCGTTCACCTTTAGCATCCCATGATTATCTGGTACCTAATTTTCTAAATAAAATATTAATAGTTGAGACTAGATGAGTATGTTAGTTTGTCTACATCACCGTTTCATTTTAATGGCTATCTCTGGGACTTGTAACCCACAGGGGCAAGTAGCACAAGACTTCCTGACACTGCTGAAAATAATTTGGCAGTAGAATTCTTTGAATAGTTCATGTGGTCCTTCAGTGTCAAAATGAGATTTTTTGTTTCAGTATCCTAAAAAAGTCACCAACAGAAGCCTGGACTGTCATTGGAATAAGTAAAGGGGCAACAAGAAACAGAAACCACCAAACTGCCAGGCAAAGCCATATGATAACAGTGACAGTGATAGCACAAGTTTGGCCGCTGTATTTAGTCAATGTCATTGTTATAATTTCTCTTAAGGAGACCTTTAATTTCTTAATTCTGTTCTTTAAATATCAGCATTATTTTGAGGTGATGTCTAAAGTGGTAACTCAAGTGGGAAAGCCCTTCTTCTAGGAACTGTAACCTTTCCTAGAAATGCCCCCTCACCCCTGCTCCATATATGATTCCTACTATGAATCTATTGCCATAGCAACAATTCATTGATTGGCCCAGAAAGGAGCACATGACTAAAGCCAAGCCAATGAGTTTCTTCCCCAGAAATCTGGACTTAGGACCAAGAAAGGAAGTGGAGTTTCCCTGCGCGCACTAAACTGGCTGAGTATGTTAGTTAGCAGTGACACCTATGAGCCACAAGAAGCCAGGAATTCTGCCATGTGGAAAAGAGTGGTTTGTGGCCAGAGAGAAAAAAGGCACCTATGTGCAGAGAGAAGTGGGACAAAGCCATAGTCTGGAGGGAGATTTGCTAACTCTAAGGCTGCTAGAGGGGAGCTACTCTTAGGTCAACTTAGATCGCTAGTGTGCCACAGTAATTACAGAGCAAAGACGTCTACTTCAAAGACAGCTAATGGGACTTAACCACGAGCAATTGCCAAAAGAACCTTCTTTATATCAGTGTTCAGATAGAAGAAAATACTGTTTCAACGCAGATCCACTGAGAACACAGACCAGCGTGGCAACCATGAACAGAGCACAGTAAAGACAGGAAAAGAGGGCACAACCGTAGACCATGCCTTCGTGCACAGAGACATATGGCTAGGACCTGAACATGACCAAATTGATTTTATTATACCATGTTTCTTTAACTATATCATAAATTCAATGTAATTTTATTATTGCTTTAGTGATTTATGATCAATTACTTTTGTAATCTTTATAAAGACCCGAATGAATTACCCAACAAGGTAACACTACAGAGACCTGAACCCGGAAGGTCTTAAGTGGCAGTGCCAACAACATTCAGATTCTCAGGGTATGGAGAGGGATAAACTTACAGACTGGCTCAATCCTGTAAGGACCTGCTCTGCAATCCTGTCCTTTAGTTCCACTGACACAGTCCCTGCTGCCACACTTACGTGTTTATAACTCCTTGCCCTGCCTCCTCCCCCGGAACAACTTTTCTTCTTTCTCCCATCATCCTGCCCAGTAATTTTTTAAAGATCCTTCTGAAAATATCAGAGGTGCCTTTCCCCAGACCCTAGGAGCCTGCGTAGCTCTGAATCCTGAGATCAGCCACTTCTGTCAGCCCAGCTGTGACGCTGCCTCCAGTTTCCTGCTTCCCCGTCTTGTCTTTCCCCGCTGCGCTGTATTCTTCTGGCAGTGACTTTCAACCGGGGTGCCGCAAGAGCTTAGGTGTGCCTCACAATTTTTTAAAGATCATTAATCAAATTATTTTTGAAAGAAGTTCAAAGCTTAGTAAGTATAATTCTTCTTTTCCTCTACTTTTTTTGATCAACATAACTTAACCATGTTTCTTATAAGAAACTTATATCATTTTTTTTTAACTATACAAGCATAACTTAAGTATGCTGGCAAAGTTTTAACTATAGGTTCCAGAGTGCCATGAGATAAAAAAGGTTGAAAAACACTCATCTATGTACTCCCCAAGTCCCGCACATTGCCTGTGTAGACTGGTTGTCGAATGAAAGCAGGAATGAATGAATCCCTCATTACTCTCCATTACAATAATGGCCAGAGTTTTCCAATGTGTGATAAAACGAACTTTGCTTTTTTTTTTTTTTTTTTTTTTTTTTTTTTGAGACAGAGTCTCACTATATCACCCTCAGTAGAGTGCTGTTGTATCACAGCTCACAGCAACCTCAAACTCTTGGGCTTAACCGATTGTCTCGCCTCAGCCTCCCAAGTACCTGGGACTACAGGCCCCTGCCACAACGCCGGCTCTTTTATGGTTGCAGCTGTCATTGTTGTTTAACAGGCCGGGGCCAGGTTCAAACCTGCCAGCCTCAGTATATGTGGCCAGTGCTCCACTCACTGAGTACGGGTGCCAAGCCTGCTTTGTCATTTTATAGAAGCATGGCAATGACATAGACTTTTGCTCCCCTGTGTTCATTTTTGCTAGTCTGCTATGCATGCAATACAGCCACCTGCTTACTACTTAAAAAAACAACCAACAGAAAAATAAGTAGATGGCAGACGAGTGTGTGCCTCTCCACACAGAGATACTTATATCACCCTCCATCTGGGAAATACGGTAGAATTAGAAAGGAAGAATAAGCTTAAGATTTTTTCTAACTCAGTTTTACAGATATTTCTAAGAAGCCATTATGAAATTATGAAAGGCAAAATTTGAAAATACAGAAATGTAGCTAAATTGCTAATTGCTACTATCATACCCAGTTTCAGTTTCTTGGCCAACGCATCAATCTGAATGGTGGGATCAGACCCCATGGACAGGAAACATATCAGAGGGGTTCGGGTGTCACTTTCTTCCCAGGTCTTCTCCAGATTTAAGATAACTGGTTCTGTGTACTTCTCCTCCAAAGAATCTGCAATATACTTTCTTGCTTGAAAGACAGTACGGTCTGGGCACCAAGACCTAAAAATGAATACAAGTCAGAAGAAATAAATTCAGTGTGTTCATTTTTTTATTACATAAAATTCTGAACAGATAAGGAACAGATGTTTAATTAGCAAAACAGCAACAAGCTATTTCTCCCTTACGCAGATCTGTGTAAGTGAGATGGCAAGGTCTCCCACCCCTGGATGGGCACAAACTCAGTCACGTGGTTTTGGTGCCAGAGGCCGGTAGGAGTAGGGAAGAGCCAGGAACAACACGGTGTCCTCCGCCAGCTCCTGTACTTAACAGGTGCCAACCTGCCACCCTCTCAAGCTCTGCCATCTTCCAGGGGAGAATCAGCAAACCTTTATGTCATACCATTTGTGTACTGAGCTATCGTGTGTTCTACACACTCAGACACATTAAATTAACGTCATCTCATATCTGGAATGTTAGATCATAGACAAGCTCGAAAGAGTCTTATTTACTAGATTACATTTGTGACAGATCCAATTTTAAAATGATGAATAAAAAATAGACACATTGGTTCCAATAAAAACAAGTAGTCCTTTTACACTCTGTAGACTGAGGTCACCATTACTGCCACTCTAATCACTCTTGAAGGGCGGGTGACAATAACCAGCAAATAACTTGGTTCTAAAGATGTGCAAGTTCTGGCATATAACATTAGGAAAGATAAAACCTTCCCCCAAGTCATCCTACATCTTTTTGTTTTTCTTTCTGTGGTCTTATCTCTCCTAACTCTGCCCCGCTGCTTTACCCACCCATCACCCTCACATATATTGCACACACATACACACACGTGCACACACACACAAAGCATTGATTTTTCCAATATATAAAGCCGCTTTGAGCTACTGTATATTGAGAAAATATGAAAAGTGAGGAGAGAAGAGAATGGCCTTCCTTAAAATCAATTTTAAACTTCTATTTCCATTTACATAGCCCAAATTATATTAATACATTTTAATAGTGCAATAGTCTTGTTTTTTCTCAAGCACAGTTGAATTTTAACTTATAAACGAATTGTCTTGTGACTTCGTGGGGTCCATTTTTTTGAAGACCTAAATTCAACAATAAATGATTCACTTATTGGTAAATAATGAGGAAAATGAATAATAAAAGCATTTTTCGCATTTTTTGCTAAAAGCACTATCATTAATACACTGTCAAAATACATCATTCCCTGCCACCATCACCATTTTATTTTGCTTGTCAAGAAACTGAAGAATTGCCATCCCAAACCACCATTTGGAAGCACACACATTTCTTACAATAACTATAGGAAAGTAGTTAAGTGAAATCCCTGGGGTAAGCTCTGTAATTTGGTGATACCTATTCTCACCTGATAAGTAGAAGTTTCCGGCAAGTATCTAGTGAATCATTATATCCATCAGGGATAATCTCCTCCTCTGGAGCATCTTTATCAAACCAGCTTTTCCACCCCTTCTCATTACGAGATATCTAAAAGAAACAAGCCAATTAACAAGCCACAGAACGATATTTGATCAGAATATACTGGAGAGGATTCTGATTAACCTTAGAAGGTCGTTCTTCATAGGTAGATAATTTTTCAAGCATAACAACACAGTTTCAATATTTCTTCAGAATCAATGACTCAAATAGCCTGGATATTATTGTTCCCTTTCACTGTTCCCATTTTTTAAAAACATGACTTGTTAAAATTAGGATCACGTATTAATTATACCAAATGGTCAGGCAGGAAGAAACACAGATCAAGGCTTCTCAATCTTGATGTTATTGTTGTTTTGTGCTGACTAATTCTTTACTGTGCGGTCTGTCCTGAGGACTTTAGCAGCATCCCTGGCTTCTACTGACCAGATGCCAGTAGCACCCGGGTCAGAATATTCAAAATTGTCCCCAGCCATTGCGGAGGTGGTACAAATCCTCACTTGAGAACCACTGACACAGACCACTCTGATTACCAAACTCTGTATGTTGCTCTCTACTTAAAAAATAGAAATAGATGGCAAAATCGAAATTCCTGGAGACTTTAAACCTAAGAATGAAAGACTTCTCTCCAGGAGGTGGCCCCAAACATCTTTCAGAAGCCTGGGGAGGACCCCAAGTTTTCAGAGGTGTTACAAGGTGCTCCCTGTAGCCTAAGGGCTATCAGGACTAATAATCAAGACTGTAAATTGCTGAGCCTGTGGCTGCTCCTCAGCAGGCTTATCACTCACTCACAGTGTTTGCAGGGACTTTCCAAAAGCCCTGGTAAGCACCAGCAGTGAATAGCAGATGCTATGTGCCTGACCTGAGGATTGGACTTTTTCCTCTTATCAAGTCCACATTTCTTTTTTAATCCCCACATTTTATGGAGACATAGATAGGTTAAATAACTCCCAAAGTCACACGTCATGAGAACAATTCACATTGGATCCAGACAGGGTAACAATAAACAAAATAACAATGAAACAGTCACTCTGTAACTCATTTTGTCCTTGGGGCACTAAAAGATGGAGGGGTATTTCCCAAATGTTTCACAAGCACTGTCTTTCCTCTGAAGATTGCAGTGGCTCCCCCTGGCTGGCAGCCCTCAGAGAATCTGCCTGGCATGCTGCTGGCAGGGCAGCCACATTGCCTGCCCTCCCTCACTGCACCTGCACCTCAGCACTGCTACCCACGGCGCCCCCTGCAGGCCTCCCCAGCCAGCGCCCAGAGAGGAGGCACAAGAAGGAAGCACACAATTGTTCTGAGCTACTGGCCTTCCACCTGCTGATGAGGACTGACCATAGCAGAGCTTCTGAGTGGGACAACTTCCAGCCCTTTGCCATCCACCTCCACTTCCCACTTCTTTTCCTGGCCCTCACCTCTTGGCACAAACCACATGCCTGAGATGCCAAGGCCACAGTGGCTTCTGTTTGAGGTTATTTTTGTTTTAGTTCCTGATACCCATTTGGCCAGGAGACTGATTTTCTATCTTCTCCCTTCCTCCCCACAGACATGCCAGACCAATGGCCTCCTGATGGCAGGTTCCCAAATAACCTGCTGTGGCATGGGAAGAGCATGAGGTCAAATTACAGCTTTGTCACTTACTAACTATGCAGCTTTGGGCAAGTACTTAATCTCTTTGACTCTCAGCTTTCCCTTGTATAAGGTAGGGTCAATAAAACTTCCCCTGCAGAGTTCTTATCATTGCAAAGTACCTATCCCACAGTAAACAGTGATAACTACCATCAGGGGTACTTAAATCTAACTGGCAGAAGCAAGCAATAATATATGTCCCTAGGTCAATATAACCCACAGAGCAGGGCACGAGTTTTGAACTACAAAACAAAGCTCATTGCTCACCCACAGATGGAACCCAGGGGGCTTATCCAGTTAACCCTGACCAACCATGGCTGAATCTACATAATCCTTCAGAAATGCCACCCAATAAGAAGATAGCAAATGTAGTATGTTGGGTAGGAGATTGGTGATCACAGCATGAGGCCTCTGCCAATCTGTAGGCTACTGAAGGCCCCATTCTTGGTCACCAGCAACCACAGAGAAGCAGTAACTACCAGCATTTGTAACAGATCCCAGTAATAAACAACTATTTTATTCTGAGATGCATCACCATTTTCCAGTGATAGTTGAATCAACAACTAATCCACAATAACCAAATTACATTTCCAAGCAAGAAAAAACAATAACAAGTAAATTGGTACTGTTTTACCCTTTTTACTGTTATATTTCACTATTTTATAGTTTTATCATTAAAATGATTGATTTTTTAAAAATGACCCCAGACCTCTTAATTTCCCTTAAACTCAAATTTGTACAAACTATTTAATCACAGGCAGAAGAAGTAAAAATGTAAAAACATTAATCGACTACCATATAAAAGGGGCCACCTACAGCTTTTGATTCTAGCACAACTCAAATTGGCATATAAAAATGACCACGCTCACCACAGAGAAGGAATGAATAGTTGCCTCCACCTCTGATAAGGTTAACGCTGAAGTTCATCTGCCCCAAATCTCTCCCAAACAGCCACAGAGCCCTAAATCTACACTACTGGGTTGACACCTTGGGTGACGGAATTGACACTAGGAGGCCCCAATTAAAACAACCTGGTTGTGTTCGGGTTTACAAATCCGGACTTGTAACCAGCCCTTTATTGCATTACCTGGTTCATGATTTCTGCAAATTGTGGCAGTTTGCTCAGCTCCACAAGATTCAACCAAGTCATGTCGAGGATCCAGCGAAAGGGCTTGGGAGGGCAGGCTTTCAGATCCAGAGCTGCTCCCCCTAGGGGAAAGCATCAGACTTTGTGAACCAGCTCAGCTTGTACGTCACTTTTAGAAATTCATCTTCTAAATATTAGAAATGAGATAACCATACTACAGAAAAGAAAAGGAAAATTAGAAAATAATACTATTATGGGAAATGTGATTATCTTTTTTTGGTATGTTTTCTTCAAGTTTGAGTGTTTATTTGTTGATTTATACCATCTTCTAAAATACAGATAGCAACTCTTTATCATTTTTTCCTGCAAAGAATTTCTCTCAGTGGTTATGGTAGTTTGCCTTTTTCTTTATTTTTTTAACAAGCTGAAATTTATCATTTTGATATCAATAAATAGGTTGATCTTTATGTGTATGATTTAAAAAAATCACTTCTTAGCCATTACACCTGCGGAAGTTTTATCTTCAATACTATTTGTGAGTAGGCCAAACAGATAATCAGATGGAGGGAGGGCGGTTCAAACCAGTTATTCATTCACTTATTGAATAAATATGTATTGAACACCCTCTATGTATCCGACACATTCCAGGAACCAGGGACACCGCAGAGAAAATCAAACCAGGGCCCTGTTCCCGTGGAGCTTACAATCTAGTGGAGAATGTGAGTTATGGCATCAGATCCTATTTTAAAGCAAATCACAAGCCAAATGTTCTTACCCAATGTGCCATTTTCCAGTGAAATACATGATTATATTGACAATGTCAAGATTCCTCCATTGCATGTCTTTAGTAATGTTGTCTCATACTAATTCTGTCTCCACTGTTTTTATTCAGATGTATGTGAAACAGTGATTTTTGAACTTTGGTTTTTTGCAGTTTTTGTCTGGGGCCAGGCTTGAACCCACCACCCCCAGTATATGGGGCTGGCGCCCTACTCCTTGAGCCATAGGCGCCACGCTGATTTTTTAATTTTTACATCTTATAATCCTCCTTAAAAATGCACCATTTTCTTCTACTTCACAAATCAACTCCTGGGCAAAAATGGCAGGGGGAGAGGGAACTACAGGTGTCAGGTCTCCCTATCTGGCACTGTCCTGAGGTGTGTAAACTGAAGCACTTTTGTTACCTTGGCTTCCTTCGCAAAGGACTTGGGCTCAGTGACTCTGAGGGTTGCAACATGTTCAGAACAAACTTTCCTCTCATTGTTGGGGGGTGGAGTGGGGGTGGGGAGGAGCTGTAAGCTGAGCAGGAGTAGCTAAGGCGTGTGAGATGCTGCTTTGAGAATCAACCACTAGGCAGAGCCACCTGCAGCCTTAACAGGTGGCTGCTCCCACATACCCTCATCTCTCTTCTTCTTGGTTATCATCAAAGAAATGTTTTCATGGAATCACAAGCTTTAGAGACACCAGGAGAAGATATTTAAATTACTTCCGTGTTTCCAAACATATTGGATACCTAAACTAACACAGAACAAAATATTTCCCAAAATATCCTGACTGCCTCTTATTAGCTGCATAAACTTGGACAAGGAACATGAATCCCTCTCAGTTTCCTCATCGGTCAAATGGATATAATGATAGAATGTACTGGATTGATTGCTGTGAGGGTTAAATAATGTATATAGAAAACTTAGAACAGTCTAGACCAGTGATTTTTCAACTGGTGTGCCAGGAGAAGACCTTAGGTATGCCTCGAAATTTTTTAAAGATCATTAATTAAATTATTTTTGAAAGAAGTTCAAAGCATAGTATGTTCTTTTTTATACTCTTTTCTCTTTTGATCAACATAATTTAAGTGTGCTGCGGAAGTTTAACTATAGGTTCAAGTGTGCCATGAGACAAAAAAGGTTAAAAAAACTGCCTTAGACCCATAATAAGAGCTATGTAATCATTAGCTGTTAAGTTGTTACTTGATATTAATCTCTCTCTCTCTTTCTTTCTCTGTGTCTTAGATGGCCCAGGTCCAGTTACCCTGGGAGGCAAGAGCAGATCCCCTAAAGTGTGTTTTTGTCCAGGGTCTTTGACAAAAGAAAGATGGTATCTTTCTAAAATAACCAAGTAGAGAAAACAAGTATATCAATTGCTCTATATCCATTTTACTTTTCAAACTGTTCTGACATTCTCCATTGAAGGAGAGAGACAAAGTCACCTTACAAATACTGTAGAAAATAAGCAATAATTGAAACAAAAAGGACTGTCACTCTTGGGAAATCAAACATTCCTACTGTGATAAATAACTCTTCATCTCCCACTTAGTACTGAGTTCAAAATGATCAAGAAGCATGTATGATCTTAGGGGCATATTTGTTAACTTTGTTAAAAAAAAAGAAACATGAAAAAAAAGGGAATATCATCTTTTAGAAAAAAATTCAGTCAAAATATAAGCCAGTCATAACTAATGCAAGCTGTACGAGAACCCAGTTTTGCGGGGGCTGTTTGTTTTGAGACAGAGTCTCGTTCTGTCACCCCAGGCAGAGAGCAGTGGCATCATCACAGCTCACAGCAACCTCAGACTCCTGGGCTCATGTGATCCTTCTGCCTCAGCCTCCCAAGTAGCTGAGACTATATACACAGCTAATTTTTCTATTTTTAGTACAGACCAGGGGTCTTGCTCTTGCATGGGCTGGTCTTGAACTCCTGAACTCTAGCAATCATCCCGCTTCTGCCTCCCAGAGTGCTAGGATTATGGGCGTGAGCCACTGCACCTGGCCCAACTAGTTGTGTTTTTTAAAAAACCTTTTACTGCTGAGCTGATAGTACTTCTGTAATCAATCTATCATAAAATCCCAAGTTAATCTTCATAAAGCACTGCTCTGTTCATGCCACATCCCTGTTCATTAAAATATTTGATGACTCCCTATTGCTAATTCCATTAAATGCAAACTCCTCTCATTGGCTGTCCTGGTGCTAGACAATCAGGTTCTCCCTGACTCTTCCGGCTGTGTCCCCACATGTGGGAAGGGCATACGACCTCCCTCTAGCCTTTTATAAGGGCCCTGATCCCATTCACAAGGGCTAAACCCTCCTGACCGAGTCGCCACGGGGGTTAGGATTTCAACGTAGGAGTTTTGGAGGGACACAAACATTCAGACCCTAGCGTCCAGCTGCCTGGAGTCCAGCATGCTGCAATGACCCCCGCCCCTATGCCTAGTGCCCCACAACACTGGGCCTGCAGCCCCAAGTCCAGTGAGAGCTAACAACTTCTGAAGCACATCAAAGGAGCTTTCTAGATTTGGTAAATAGATGCTCACTTTATTCACCATGAACCCCTAATGTCTGGATGGTCCTCCGTAGCACCTGTCCCTTCTCCCAAGTGATACTCATCATTTCCTTCCGTGTCCCCCAGCCTCTTGTACCTGCAGGCCCTCAGTGATCACTGCCTGAGATCACATGGCCGTCAGTGGAAGTGCCCTGTCATTTCCCCAGCTGCTGGTACGAGCCTCTTACGCCCACCACACTGCATTCTTCCTAGAGATACAGTATGACACCGACCTCCCCAGATGTATGACAGCTGAGAAAAAATATGAACCAGATGGCATATTTCAACTTCCTCTGATCCAACCAAACAGACCTGGAATCTCTGCACATTCATTTCTGACTCGTCTCTTGGTGCCTGGATTCATCAGTTGCCACTTTTAATCCTCAGGTCCTTTTCTCCCTTTCCATTCCCATTGCCTTCACCCTAGGTTGGGAATGCATTTCCTGTGGTTGAAAGACTAAGAGTCTCCTGTGAATCTCTTTTCTCCACTATCCACGTCTGCCAGCTTCATCTTCCTCAAGGCCCACACTGATCACTGCCTTCTACAACTCTCTCTTTCTTACCAGTGGAAGAAAATCCTTCCATAGGAATTCAGGCTCCACAAGGTGTCACAATTTACATGCTGGGCCCTTGTTCTCATTATTCTCCCAAATCCACCTTTCATTCACCAGGACCTGACTGACTCCTGTAACTTAAACACTCCACTCACACCTTTTCTCATGCCATTCCACTGCCTTCCTCATTCCGACCTCTCCAAGGTCCATCTCAAATGCCACTTTCTTATTTAGAAGTGTGGAGAGCCAGAAAATAATTTGTTAAATTATGTATATAAAGCAACAAACACAAAAATTACTGAAATATTTTTTACTGTGGACCAAATAATCCCCCAATTTATGGCTTACCTCACAAAGGCATTATTTCCCAAGAATCCTTTTTTTTTTTCAATTTCACCAACCACACCTAACCTCTTCTTCCTTTTAGACCTAACACTTTGTTTCTTATCTCTTTTAGAACACTCAGCTGCTCTGTCCCCAGTATCCCCTTGTTTCCTGATAGGATGGCCACCTAGCACACACTCAGTAAATACTCGCATGACTGAAATGAAATGGAAATGCTGTTCTTGCCTCTTCTCAATTATGCCTTTCACATGGAGACAAGCAATGGGCAGGATTAACTCCAAATAAGAAACGCAAGTGAGTCTTGTTTTACACTCCTGCCTGGAAAGCTCACCTCTACCTTCACTCTTCTTCACACTGGCAATCGGCTCTCCTAAACATGGCTGACGAAGAACACACCGAATACAATCATAAAGCTGAAAGTCACAGAATTAGCACAGACCTGAATTTTAAATAACCAGAGCAAAATAATAAAAATCAGGCAAAAAAACTTATTAAAAAACAATACCACACTTTGATTAGAACACAGTTTCCCTATCGTATCAGGAAACAGGTTCGCAGCATCCCAAAGAGTACGTCAAAAGCGACGTGCTTCACACACCACGTTTGTATTCCACTCACTTTACCTTTGATGAGAGCCTGAAACTCTCTGTGCTTCACTGTTCCTCTCTGAAGATCAATCTTTAAGGTCATGAGGAGCACGAAAAGGAATTTGTGGTTTTCGTATAGGCCCCTGACCGAGTATGTAAAAACTTCATATGTCAGATACTCAATAATATTTGTGATTCTCTTTTGAGGTAGCGGAGACTTTTCAGATCTGCAATGTATTTTACAAATCAAAGAAGTAAAAATCAATTTCTAGAAAGAATAGACATACAAACACAACTTTTAGGTCATTACTTTGAGGCAACAATGTTAAGGGCTCACCTGGCCATTGACTGGTCAAACAACTTCAAGAACTGGGCCAGCGAGGTCTGGTACATGATGTTGACCATACTCATCTCCGTGATGAGGAAGTAGAGGATGCTACCGCGGGTGGCTGCCGGCCGGAACTCCTCCTGAGCCGTGTTGATCTTGACCTCGGTTTCTGCGGCCACGTGTAACTTTTCACTCACTTCAGCCGCTGTCTGTTTGGTAGTGCGGAGGACACCAATGAGAGATTCATCATCTACCAGTGAACCTGAACACCAAAACAGGGAAACTTTGGTCCACAGATGGAAGAGTCACAAAACAAGACACAGCACATTGGAAGTATGACTGTCAACTCTCAACTCGGTTTCTCCAAAGTCTACAGGAAGAGTACTGGAAGAGTAGAATCTGGGGCCACTGAAAGGCTTCTCATCCAAATAGTACACAGTGCCTAAATCTTTCCAAACATTCCTGCCAAGCGAGTATCTCCTGCTCTATCCAAAAATTTGCAAAAAGCAAAAGACCCATTGATGAGTTTTCAGATGTCTAAAGACAATGCTCGATCACATCTCTAGTGGTTTTTAGCTATTCCCTTTGTGACAGGCTTTCATCCCCATTCTCATCTTGGTGGCTCTCTTCAAAGTGTCACCATGTGTCCATCGCACTCGTCTCTGGGTGTGAGCTGATCCAGATGCTGCATACATGGGCTGAACAGGTGAATGATGCACTCTGCCCTCCCACTTCAGTAGAACAATCCTTGCCATGGAAAACCCAAATCCCTTTTCATCTCCAACAACAGTAAACTGGAATATAGTAAAAAGCATCTCACCAGGAAGAGAAATCTTTATTTTATTTTTAGTTTTTCCCCTCAGTATTGCTTTTAATAGAAATAGCACATTAATGACAATGAATTCAACTTTAAGATATCAAAAATCACTTTGGATATACTGAGTTAACAGTCACCATAGCTGCAAATAGTAGCACTCTGGCTCATCCTAGAGTTCTAGACAGCAGGTGAGTGCCACAGGACACACTGAGTTACTCTGGCAGGCATGCTATGTCTGGTATGGAAGCCTACTTCGGATTAATCTCACAGGAAAGAGGTCTCACTCCAGCACCCTTGGCTGGACCAGGAGGATAGCCCTCAACTCTCCTTTCTACATCGACAATGCACAGAGGCATTTCAAATGCCTGGGAGAAGTCACCGCACCAAGAACACACATCTTCATCAGCAGAAACCATGCCCTTAAGGCAGATAAAAGGACTTTGTACTGAGCTCACCTTAAAGGTATAGTGTTTCTGCAAGGTTAAGATTTTTTTTTTAATCTTGAGAATAAAGTGCTATTGGAAGTCTTCATTATAGATTACTGAAATTTAGGTTGTTGAGATTTGCCTCATGGGTAAAATTTTCTTTTTATGAGGTTGGACAATTAAGTTCACAAACTCATCCTAGAAAATGTGCTGCATACCTCATTGCTAAATATCACTACAGTCACCTTTAAAGCACTCCTCTTGGGAAGTTATGCAGTGACACCAATGCCTAGTCCACTCTTCAAAGCAGTTTTAGAACTCTTTCTGGAATGACCATCAGAGCTGTCCTCGTTGTACCAAGTCTGACAATTCAGTTTGTGGATTTGTCACTGTACACTTACACTGTCAGCACTGTACAAACAACCCAGTAAAGTTTCTTAACCTCCATGTATTAGTGTCTCATGGCTAGTTCATGTCAACATGTGATGGAGTCTTGCCAAGTGGCACTTATTACTGTTGTGGTTTTGTGTGCTATATGACAACAGCTCTGATGGCCGTTCCAGACAAAGAGTTCCAAAATTGCTGGCATCAGTGCATAGTTTTCTAAGGGGAGTATTTCAAAGGTGCCCATAGCAATACTCAGCAATGAGGTATGTAAGCACTTTTTCTAGGATGAGCTCGCAAACTCTTCCAATTTCATATAGATTGCAGAGAGAGTATATTCTCAAATTGGGGTGTAGTGTGATGATTTGTCTGCCCAGAGAATACAGATCTTTGGCTACTAAGTGGGAGATCAAGCCAAGCAGAGAGGAAGCTGGGCCTCTGATGCCCGAGCTCATCTGACATGGATTACATGTGTCATAACCCACTGTGATAACTGCATCTTCATGCCAAATGAAACAGTCAATCTAAAAAAAAAATAGATTGAGCACATTAGTTTCCTCTGGGTAAGCAAATTAGCCTATAATGAGTTACCTACCTCTATTGGGAGCCTTTATTTTTCTCAAAAGAGAGCAATTACATGAAGAAAATTGTGTTATTCTTAGATGCTCAGTCTTTTTGCTAATTCAAAAATCAGGTTGTCTCCAGTCCCTCTTTAATGTCAAGATGGAAATTGCCTTGCTTGTTTTTATATTGACAATTCAACTATTTCCTAACATGAGGGTATTGAAAAGGTTGTAAAAGGAATCCCTACTTAGAATCCATTACTTCATTACTTCTTAATAACGCAATACCTTTTGTAGTACTTAATTTATAAAGGAGGTTATCTTCAAGTTCTTTCATCTTCCGCTTATTAAAAGTAACGTCCTCTAAAAGTTTAACCCGCTCAGATTCTAACTCCTGTTATTAAAAACAAAAAAGAAAGAAAAAATCAGAATTGTAATTGCTAGTTATTATGGCAGATCCAACTTACTACTGTTTGTTATCAATTTAAGAGGTTTAAGCCAAAGCGTCTTTTGAACGACAGAAGAAATTACTATCATTAGTCAAATCTATCTGTATTTTGGTTTCTCCGGATAATTTTTTTAAATTATGCCCACTAGCATTAAGGTCCCATAGCACTTACACTGCCATGCGTAAAACAAGCCTGCTAAAACGCTTTTGTTCAATTTCCTCCAGCTTTCTTGCCAGCTTTAAGTTATTAATAGAATGTCCCATTCCCTTGGCCCTGTTTCCACACTGCATGCATGAAAAATGTTAACTTTATTTGTAGTCAGAATAAGTAGGAAAAAAAGAGGCATTGATACAAAGAAACCAAGGAGGTAGGCAGGCCGAATGTGAACTCTTCACTTGAGACCTTCCTATGGGAACACCAAGTACCTTACTTGGTACAGCCAATTGCCAAAATCCACTTTGAATTGTATTTGCATCTCCTTCTACTAGAGAGGCTAAATTGGATGTCTGGAAGGTATTTTTTTCCCTGCATAAAATGACATATTTTTTTAAATTATGTTTTAAAAACATTTTCAACTTTCAAGAAAATTGCAAGACTAGTACAACGATCTCTCATATATACTTCCCCCAGCTTCACTAAATAACACTTGGTTTATTACTCTCTATTTAGTACTTAATATTTTCATTATTATTATTTATGAACTGTTTACAGAACTTTTAACTCCAAATATGTTAGCAAATCTCCTAAGAATCAGGACCTCCTCTTATATCACCACAGTCCAGTATTTTAATTCAGGAAATTTAACATTGACAGAATGCTCTTACTAAATATTGAGTCTACATTGAAATAGTTTCAACAGCATTCTTTATGCCTCTCTGTTCCTGATCCTACAGAATCATGTGTCACTCTTAAAATTATGTTAAAAGAAGGCATTTTAAAACTAGTACTACTTATTTGAGAACATTTCCTGGAAAACTGCTTTCACTACTTTCAGGAAGTCTTCCAAAACTAGTCAACCAAAAGCCACAGCAAGGTATTTTTCTCTACATCAAGTATGGCTTGTATCAAAATCTGTCTGTAGGAAGGACTCAACTACAACTTGAACTTTACCTGACAAACACAAGCAATGTTACCTAATTGTATGTATCCTTATATTAATCTGAAAAAAAAATCTGCCTATAGATTATTTCCCTCCAACTAGAGTCTGTGCATCTAGAGGGCAGGAACTTGTCCTATTCATCTTTGTACTCTTTTTTTTTTCTTTTCTTTTTTTTTTTAATTGAATGGTAACTATGTACATTAATGCATTTCTGGGGTACAGTATTCATCTTTGTACTCTTGATAGCACTTACCTGGAGGCTTTGTAGGAAAGTGATTCAACCAATAAATATTCATCAAATTGATATATGTTGAATTTAGTTTTTAAGTCCTATTTTACAGCTAGGAAAGCTGAGGACCCAGAAATGCGAACTCCAAATGACACACCAATGTAACACGCATACACAGTCAGTAACTGGCAGAAACAAGCCTTATGCTGCTGTCCTCCAACTCCCAGAACAGTGTTATTGCCACTGTGCTAACAGCGTGCAGGATTTCCAGGGGTGGTAAAGAGCACAGCTGGATCTGCAGGGGAATTAGCTAGTGGATCATTTTTATTACAATAATCACCTCTGGGTGGCAGTATAGGAACACACGGACAAAATGGAATCACGTTCGCTTCCTATTCAGTATGCTACGAAAAAACAGGTGCCATGGCACGGAGGACACTTGCTAAAGCTTGGGAGGGTGGGAAGACCATGTGCTGTTAATAGGTGAAGACCTTTACTCTTTTGGGTCTCCATTTGTTCATCTGTAAAAATGAGGTGTAATAGCAAGACTGTGAGGAGGAGTAAATACCACGTTCAAGGTGCCTCCCTGTTTAAGTGTGCAGTTTATATCCTCCAGCAAGATTGGGACAAGCATCTCTTGAAGAGGAAGCTAAGGTCTAAGACAAGGAGGTATGGGGTGCTTTGGGCACCTTTAGATAGTGAAGTTTAGGAGGTTCGTGTAGCCCCATGGGGAACCTGTAGTGAGGAGTCATTTCAAAATAGACCAACAGCACCAGTTAGGCCACAGAGGATTTTTAATAGCTGCTACCAAGTGCTCCTGAGAGGCAATGGAGGCAGTAAATTGAGGGGCCAGGCCCTCCCTGCCTGGCAGGGAAGAAGGACAGAGTCTCTTCCTGGACTGGTTAAGTCCCAGGTTTACTGGAAACTCAGATAAAACAACTGAGAGAGTTAAAGCTGGGCTGTGTCTATGAACCAGATAGGATGCCACGTCCCCTTCTTTGGATGTCTTTCTTCTGTGTGGCCCTCACCTCATATCACCTCCTTTCCCCCTCTGCCTCTTTCTCTGATCACTCTCCCATTTATGCCTCCCTACTCTTATTATTTCTAACCTTGCTTTTTCCTTGAATCTTTAATAGTAAGATTAATTATATTTAAGCAAATAAAAACTTTCTCATATTTAATGCAAATGGGCTTTATATATGCAAATATATAAAATTATATTTTTATGCAATTATATTTTATGCATATAATTTAATTTTTTCTGAGTTTTATCTTAAAAATTAGTTTAATCTTGTACCAGTCTCTTAAAATCTTCCAGTCCTAAATTGTTCTTTGTTTTATTAGAACCCTCAGTTAACAGTTAATTAATTTCCCTGCTTTAGTGCAAATTTCATTTAATCAAAATAAAAGTATGGCCCCTTATATCATTAGATTACTAAATTGTAGTACTACAATGGTAATAATAGCTGCTCAGAGCAATTTCTTTTTCTCTAGGATCATTGTTTTATTGAATTTTTGTGCACTCTCAAGACCATCTACAGGACTAGAGATACGAAAGTCAACATACACAAAAGTTTAAAGACAGAAATAGATGGAGGGACACATGGGCAAGTGTGTGCATTTGGGACTGGGGGAGAGGTGAGTTACATGATTTCTTCATAGGAACTGGGACTACAAAAGAAATATTTATGTTAACATGAGTAAATATGATTGGCGGAGCCAAGATGGCGAACTGCAGCCAGCTTTTTACAGAAGCTCCCGTCCAGAAGGAGGCTGAAAGGACAGAACCTTAGCAAAGTAGCTGATGGTTTGGAGCAGAGACAAGAGAGAAGATTGAAGAGTGCACTTCAACCTTCCTGAGGCGAGCCGCGACCCTGAAATTACAACTAAAAGCTGCTGCTGT